AAAAAAAAGATAATTTTTCTATAATATTTGAATTGCATTGAAGGAAAGTTGAGTTTCACTGGTTAGGCCCATTAAAGATTAAAGTTACCCATGATCTAAAATGAGTTTGACTTATAAACATATATGCATTTTGTATATACAGCCAAGGAAGACTGGAATATGCACCCAACAACGGGAGCGTATTACCAGCTTAACATACAGTCAGCTTTGACTTGGCACCAGGCACAAGTCAGCTGCAAACAGCAGGGAGCTTCCCTTCTCAGCATCGATGATCCTCACGAGCAGGCTTATATCACAGGTAATGTGCCTCGGACACACTGAAAAAGTGATCATGTATTTATGTGCATACTTCAACTCCTGTAAAGTATATGTATCCAAACATAGTATTTTATTCTATTTTATATAGTATATTGTTCTTTTTATCTTATTCTATTCCATTGTTTTTCTTGACTGTTGCTCCCTGTAACTTTGCACTGTCCACTTTCTGTCGTGACTCAACAAATTTCACACGTGTGACTAATCAGAGTTTATCTTATCTTTTCTTATCTCTTATCTTTGTGTTATGAATTACATGATTTTCCCCCCATCATTTAAAAAAAAGAACATTAACACTAGTTTTGATTATTGTTAAGATAAGATAAGATAACCTTTATTAGTCCCACGCGTGGGAAATTTGTTTTGTTACAGCAGTGGACAATGCAAAGTTGCATAGAAAAATTAGAAGAAAAAAACACTGGAATAATATATCCATAAGATAATATATACAATATACACTATAATACAACGATGCCAGAAAGAGTATTGCACTTAGTGTTATTGCTATTGCACATGTGTGGATGTGTGTGTTTGATCAGTTGAAGTCTTTGTTGTGGAGTCTGACAGCAGTGTGGAGGAAAGACCTGCGAAATCTCTCCGTCCCACATCGTGGGTGCCGCAGACTGCCACTGAAGGAGCTGCTCAGTGCTGTCAGAGTCTCCTGCGTGGGGTGGGAGATGTTGTCCAACAGGGATGATAGCGGTTACAATTAGAGATTTATTTAACGCAAAGTGAAAGACATTTTTTCTTTTTCATTTCTGTACTCAATGGCTCCAACAGCACTGCTATGGAAAGGGGG